TCCATGGGACTCATAAAACAGATACATGAACACATGTGTGAATCAGAGCTCTTAAAACCTTGAGGTTATTGAAAAGTCAGAAAGGGTAAGAAGCTGAACTTAAAGCACACAGCTGAAGCTTGAAGTAGGAATCTAGGTATGCTGGAAGATGATTCTTGACTGTGTCCTTATTTTCAGGTTGCACCTGGGAATTTGGGGCCATGGTTAATTACATCAAGAAGACCTACCCTCAGACCCAGCTGGTTGTTGTGGGCTTCAGCCTGGGCGGAAACATTGTGTGCAAATACCTGGGAGAGAGCCAGGCCAACCAGGAGCGAGTCCTGTGCTGTGTCAGCGTGTGCCAGGGGTACAGTGCACTCAGGTAGGTCTGGAGACTTCTCTGTGCTGGTCCCTTCTGGGGGTGCAGGATGGGGCAGACCTTTGGCAGGGTGCATGTGAAAGAGCAAAGTGAAGAGCATGTTGCTTGTCTTGCGTTGAACTGGTCTGACAGACTGCAGTGTGTGGGATGGTACCCTCCTGAAGGAGCAGCCAAAGCTTTGTTGATTTGGCAGCACAAATAAGCTTTCTGTTGATAATGCAAATAAGTTTTCTGTACCTGCTGGCAGCTTGTGGTCTGCGCATGTGAGCTGGTCTAACTCTGTCTCGTTGCTACAGCATCCTAGGAGGAGGCATTCCCCACTCAGTCCTGGTATAATTAACCAGGCAGGCTGGGCAGCGTGACAGACTGCTGAGGTGATGCCAGGTTTGCAAGCAATAGTTTACACTTTCTCATCATTCTGAGAAGTATCTCTTGGTTCATAATAGCTTTTCTGGCTTCAGTGTGCAGTTTCATCTGGCAGCTCTTACACAGGGAGACTTGAAAGAGATGCACAGCTCATACGCTGTCAGTCCGTGCTCCCTCCTTAGTGTGTCACTGAAGCAGTGCTGTGGGCTGATGAGGAGATGGGGAGGCACTTGCAACCATGCTATACAGTTTGGAAGGTGGGGAGGAAAAGGCTTAGCCCTAAAGTCTGCCTAAAATGTTAACCTGTGGTTCCCCACCTGGAAGCCAAGGCTGTAGCACTTCACAAGAGCTGTAATGGCTCCACCTAGTGCTAACACTGCCATTTACTGATGGCGGATCTGGGTAAGCACTACAACTTGAAAACTGGTGGCTCAACTAATGTGCTTACAGTTAATGAAGATTAAAACAGTGTAACTGGATAACCTACTGCTTTCAGTTTTTACTGTCTGTTCATATGGACAACTGTCAGTAATATTCCAGCATATTTAATCCTTTTGGAGATCAGATGTGACTACTCCTAAAAGTGTGTATAATCTACTACTAGGTCCCAATGAGTTCACACCCTTAAAACGTAATAGATGCTTTCAGGATCAGTTTTTCTGTTTTGTTTCGAGGAAAATGTTCTTGGTCGTCTTGGTTCTGGCGTGGAGCACAGAGTATCCTTTTGAAGCCAGCTCCTCAACTGCAGCCATCAGACAGGGTTTGCAAGGATCACACCTGGCTGTGGTCCACTTGGTTCATGTTCTGCAGTTATGTAATATTGTATTTCTGGTCTAGAATGCTGTTGCGAGTAATGCTGTTCCCTAAGCCGATTTCTGCAGTAGTATGTCATGATGTGCTAGTAGAATAGCAGGGCAAGGACAACCTGTTAATCCATTTGGATATTCATGTGGAAAAATAACAGCTGCTTGTCTGAGTTTAATGCAAGTCTTCTGTGGGCTCTGTGGATTACAGAGCCCTTGACTCCACCTGCTGGGTGAACATCCTCGAGCAAATCTCCAGTCCCAAAACATCTGCTATGTGTTACTGGGCAATCTGCAGCAAGGCTTTTCAGATCTTGTCTCCCTACCCAATATCTGCTTCTGCTTTAAATGCTAATTAGCTGAAGAGCTAGGGGAAAAGCAACATCAGTAAATATTTACTAAGCAAAAGACAGGATAGAGAGAGCCTTGTGCCCCTGTTATAGAAGCAAGAGGGAGGAGGTACAAAGAACCTCTAGCTGGAATGGTTAAGCCTTAGCCTTCCTGGGCTTGGTCTGGTGGGTTAAAATAACTGGCCTCATACCTCTGGGCTATGTGGAAGTAGATTACCCAGATAAACATGGCCAGTTAGTTTACAATATAACTTTATTTTTTTTTTACTAGCTTGTACAGCCTTTATTCCCCAAATAACTTTAGGAAGTGAAGGAAGAAAAAGTGGTAGCAAGCAATGTGAACCAGGGATCTGAAATATGAAAGCCTTCCCAGAGCATTAAGCACAAGTCCCATCAATGGACATAATAAAGTAGCAGTAGTAGGATCTGCCAGAAGAATGAGGCTCTCAGTTTAATGAATTAACACAGTCTGGGGAATTTGTTCCCTGAGGCTAAATGGGGACACATCTCCTTATTCCTTAATCTCTGCCTGCACAGGCTTGATTCTGGTTCTTGATCTTGTGGAATGCGTCTTCACCATAGCTACAGGCTGTGGGGAGAGACCTCAGCTTTGAAACTCATGCTGTCCTCAAGATACCAGAAGCTGCCTTTTTTCATTGTTTGCAGCTCTTCAAATTAGAAGTACTACTGTACACTGCAGGAACTGCAGGGAAATGTAGTAGCTTTACCTTCAAACATTTTATAATAACTGAATAGATTTGCTTGGAAAATCTTTTGTGAAAAAAGAAATGTGCATTTTCCAGTCTTTCTTCCTTCCCCTGCCCTGGCATGAATGTGGTTCGTATAGTCTGGCTAGACAAAAAGATATGGAAGATTTATCCATGCACCAGCATGGCTTACTACAAGAAAACATAGCTTGCTTTTGCTCTGGTAGGTTGGGTGGTCATGCTAAATCCACTGTAGTTCTCATGGCATGTTAATGTTTAAATGATAGGAGTACTTCAGTAGCTGAAACTACTCCCAGCATTCTTAGGTTGCTCAGTAAATGATAGTGTGTTTCCTCAGTAACAGCAAACCCTGCGAAGAGTAAAGCTATAACCTGCCCGTGACCCTGTATAGCAAAGGAGTGCTGGTGTCTGGCAGACCTCACACAAGTCTGGATGACTTTAATTCTGTTTTAACAACAGATAAGCTGTGAAGTGCTATTCTGCCTTGAGAATAGGTAAAGACTTCAACACATATGCCACTTGCAGCTGCAACTAGGATTTATTCCTACAGCTCCTGCCAATGAAGCTGAAACAATAATAGTGTGTGTACACATTGGAAACATCTGCACAAACCACTTCCTCTGCAGAGCTAATACACGCAATAGACAACACTTTGTTCAGTAACAGGTTTTAGTCCTTTCCTTGGTAGTCCCATTAAGTAAATTACATTCACCTTATGCAAAAGGATACTAAAATCCTCTTGTCAGTATTGCAGATCTTGATTGATGGCTCTTAAATGCTCTGATCAAAACTACTAATTGCATTGTGCAAAATGAGACTGCAGATTTGTTTTCTGATACTAGCAAACTTGATCAAAGTGGAAGCCATTTCCTGGAAAAGGTTAAGCTGTGGCAGGGAAAGCCTGGAGATTTGTTTACGCAGCCTCTAGGCTGCCATAAGGTGTTAGTGTATTAATCTGATCTTTCAACATCTCCATTAACAGCTTTGATTGTTCCACACTGTGTTTTCTCTAGGGCACAGGAAACCTTCATGCAGTGGGATCAATGTAGAAGATTTTACAACTTCCTCATGGCAGACAACATGAAGAAGATCATCCTTTCTCACAGGTACTGCAGTAAATCAGTTACACCGATAGTATTGGTTGGGTCAATTACTGTATTGAATTTGTCTTCTCAGTCCTTTAAACCAGGACTTCTGAAAGATTCTGCACCAGTTCCTTGCTTGGTGGTCTGTATATACTGTAAAATATACAAATAAGCTTTGGTGATCTTGTTAGAAGAAAGCAGGCTTTGTTGTCTTTTTGCCTTCTGAGAAAACTTAATGAATAAACAAGATGTGCACAGGAAAACATTGCAGTTAAACTTGAAAGTGGAGTACTCTGCATCTGTTTCACTTCTAGCCAAAGAATTCCCTATTCAAGGAGCCTCTTGTTGTGCCACCTACCTGAGGTAGGAGTAATCTTCCAGATCTGCTGTATGGGGCAGCTGCTTATCAAATAAGCAAATAGTCAAACCGTAGCTCTGGCTTCTAGCTGTTCCTCTAGAAGGAGTGTGTAGCTAGCAAAACACTTAGTGTTGCTCTTCCTGGAGTGCAAGTGTATTTGTAGGATCCCCATGCTGTTGTTGTGATCAATGGCTCTTGTATGTCAAAGGAGTGTGTATGTTAAACAGGTGACATGCTCAATGTTGTTGTTTCCTCCATCAAAAGTTCTCTGGATAGTACTTTCTAGGGCAGTAAATGTATAAGTACCTTGTCTGTGTGTATTTGAAGTTGCTTGACTTAAGGGGAAAAGGAGGGGAATGTCTGACCCATTCCAGTTAAGAGCATGTGTCACTTGCAGACTTTTTGTTCATTGTTTACACTCCTGTGCAGTATGAAACACTTGTAGAAAGAATTAGGGCAGCTGACATGTAGGATGATCCACATAATTTCTTTCAGATTGGCAAATATTTAGACAACTTGGCCAAATTTAACATGTGAACTTGGGTAAGCCCCCATTAAAAGGTACTTAAATTCATAACCCAGAGAAAGACAGTGCTGGCTTGAAGGCAAGTCTGTTAAACTTTTTTTCCATGATCGCTTGTGCTCTAAGGCAGCTCCCCCAAATCAAACCTAGCCTCCCTCCTATTCTGCCCTGCAGCTGCCTCTGAAAGGAAATAAAAACCCCTTTCCAACTTGTGGCTTTTGTTTTATTTGTTAGGAGAGCAGTTTGTTCTGGTAAAGAAACATGTTGTCCCCGGAGGGCAATAACTAATTATGAGAAGTGTCCATAGTAAATAGCTTTCTGCAAAGGTAACGCCCCAAGTAATTTCTGCTGTGTGAGCTAAACTAATATCTGTGCTGGAGAGACTTCAGCACCAGATGGGGAAGGAGATGCTATGCCCAGGACTGATAGTGCTCTCACCCCAACCACCCACGGGTTTGGTCTGAAGCCAAAGGACTATCCTTCTAACATGCAGCCTCTGTTCCAAATACCCTTAGTGCTGTCTGTTCTGGGAAGATTCTTTTTAGAGGCGCCTTGTGCAGTTTTTCAGTGTAACAGGAAAACAATTTTTCTGTAAAGAGGCTGCTAGGGTTTCTGTTATGCCTTACTGCGAAGGGAAGTGGACAAATAAGCTGTGCTTGTTCACAAGAAAGCCTCGTGTATGTAGCCTGCTTCTAGTCTTATCTTGTCAGACTTTGTAAACTCAGTTGTCCTTGGACAGGTCATGGCTTTGCTGCACTTATGTTGTTTGGATGTTTTTCTTGATGTTGCTATTTCAGGCAAGTTCTTTTTGGAGATAACATGAAGAAGCCACAAAGCCTGACAGATGCTGATCTGAGCAAACTCTATACAGCAACATCCCTCATGCAGATTGACGATAATGTTATGAGGTATGAAGGGTGATTCTCTGATCCTCTGTAGAAATCTGAAACCACTTTTTTCTTTCAAACGTTGCTCTTGCATGCCCCTTGCTGTGCCTGTAGGAGTCTGCTGAAGTACAGTGCTGAAAACCTGAAATACTTCCTTGCCTTCACATTGAATAAAACTTGCCAGGAAAAAAAATAAACTTACTATTAACAGTCACAGCTTCTATAAAATCATTAGGAGGTATTTATTTATTAGTGACACCTGAACCTGCAGCCTTGAATAATGTAGGAAGAGGACAGCTCTGCCTGCAAGCTCTAGCAAAAGTGCAGAATGTGGAAAGGAGCTCAGAACTGCTCGTGAATGTCCTTAGCCCTGCTTGAATTTTGGAAAAAATGTTCTCCCCAAAAAACACTGCTGCCTTTGCAATAAACATTAGGGTTGGTTGAGATAATACAGCCTTTTTTACTTCTTGTACTAACACCTAAATTAAGCTCTGTGCTTTACTAAGCAGTAGCCTGTTATTGCCTGTGTCCTTGAAAATGACATAGCACTTTCTTCAGCAGCAGTGTTCATAACGTGGCATGTTCTGTATCAGGCCTTGACACCTTTCTGAAATGAAGCTTTTAACTGTCAGCTATACAGCTAGAACACTTTTGGCAGACTGGAAGTATTGGTGGCGGCTTTTTAAAAGCCACTCCTATGGAAATCTCCCAACTCACCCTTCATCCCTGAGGCCTTTCTAGCTTGGGCCAACAGCTATGTTGTCTCTTGCATTAAAAAAAAGCAGCACTTGAGTATCGGTTTACTGAATTCTTGGGTTGGTATGGAGTGCTAAGGACTTGGCAAAGAACTGGAACCACAGTGAATTCTGGGTGGCTTGTAGGCAGGCCCTTTTGTCCAGTATGTTTGAAGTTCATAAACTGTGATGGTTTTTGTATTTGAAAAGGCTTTCAGGTAAAGATGAACAATATCATAACTTTGTCTTTTTTCCATATGTTTAATTACTTAAGTGAAGTGGGATGCTCTAAAAGAAATGCCCTAAAGGCTGCTAGGCTTCCACTTGCATGTTTAACTTGCCAATACAATCACAATGTTTGAGTAAGCACAGAAAGCATAAAGGCATGTGCTGCCAAAGGTGAGTTTTGCAGAGACCCTGCAAAAGAAAAAAGCTTGTCTGTGAAAATTGAGGCATCATTCCTATCTCTGCATATATGTACTCACTTGAAAGTAAGAGTCACATGGGTGCTAGAAGCAGATGATTGCAATGACAATCTTCTCTATTTCAGGAAGTTCCATGGCTACAGTTCCCTGAAGGAATACTATGAAGAAGAAAGCTGCCTGCATTACTTGCACAGGGTAAGCTCTTCCAATAGAAACTGTTCTTGTACCTTCATTTTTCCTATGGGAGAGAAAATGGACTGTGGTTTCTGTTGTTGTTGATACCTAGATATAGCTGTCTTAGCTGGGATTTTCAGAAAGGATTAGACACAGGATGCTGGAGTGGGATTTCAGTTCTTGCTGCCTCTAATACTGGGGCTAAATGCTCTGGACTCTTAGGAGTTTATAACTCTGACAGGTAGTAGGACCCAAGTGATCTAGATAAAGCCACACATTCAGCTGACGCACTCTGAGGTTAAGGTGGGAAATGGGTGGTGGCACAGAGCCTGCAGTTTCAAGGAAGAAAGACTTACTAGATACTGTGGAAGAGACTTGGGATGCTATCTGGCAGGCAGATGCTTGGCAGACCAAAGTTTTGCAGAAGTGGAACTGGAAGATTAATTCCTGCTTGATGTACTGAGCCAGAGGACAGAGGTGTTCCAAGGAAGTTTCCCGGACTTTAACCAAGGTGTCCATAACACAGCTAACTGCATGGTGTACAAAGCAATACAGAGCAAAAAAGAGTGTAGCTTTTTGAATTCTGAGATGATCTGTGACTCAATCTGTATTTGCTCTGATGCACCCCTGCTCCTTTCATACCATTGAGTTAAAAAAAAAAGTGCTGCAAAGTACTGCATTGGTGAAAAGCAACCAGTCTTAAATTTTGACTCTCTCTACTTTTCTGATGCTTCTCCAGGTACAGGGCAATTCTGAAATGTCTTAATTGAGTTAAGCTAAGATGCTTTTACAGTTGGTAGACTAAAATTTAAGTACCACTCCCTTACTGTTTTTTTTCCTTCCATGTTTCTTAATGCAGATCTATGTTCCTCTTCTGTTGGTTAATGCTGCTGATGACCCTCTTGTACATGAGAGTCTTCTATCAATTCCAAGAGCTCTTTCAGGTATGTTGAAGCAGTCTGCTTCAGCTGGGCATATTTGTGTACTTGAAGCTTCCTTATCACATCATGATCCCTGATTTCAAAGCAGCTTGACTTGCTGCCTTATATCTGTAATCCTGTGGGAGGTGTACTAAGCCTCTTTAAATCACCAGTTGCTAGAACTAACAAAGCTAACCTTGAGCAGGAAGAACTTGAGTTGTTCCAGGCACCTTCTGGTCTTTTGTCTTGTTGATAGCCAGCAGGTTACATTCAGGTTACATTCTTGAATGGAAAAATGCTTCTATGTGTCTTCATTCCTCACTGGGATTTAGTAGAAAGGTGGGTTGTTATAGTGATAGTTTTGATCAAGTACAGATGAACAGCCCCCTTTACTGATGAAGGGGGGGGGGTGGGCACATGCATGGCTGTGTTATTTGGTACTGGACTAGGATCTCTACCTTGAAAGGAGTTCTGTGAGATATCTGTCTTCCACTAAGGAAAAAAAAAAGGCAAATTACCTTTAGAAGCTCAGAAGAGGGAGCTGGGTGCTGCTTTGTCACTTTCCTTGGTTGAAAGCTGTGAGCAGAGAATTTATCCACAGCTGCTTCCAGACAGAAGCAAGCACAGGGATTTTCTCACTGTACGTGGAACAAGGTGGCTGATGTCAGAGCTTGGATGCAGCTCAACATGATGCTAACAGTCCTAGTTCCAGTGTATGTGAGTTAAAGATGTCCATTTGTTAAAGAAAGAGCATTCTTACAGCAACACAGGTATTTGTCAGTGCATTTCTGTTTCCTACACATGGTTACTCCTTTAGGTCAGATGCTATGCCAAGGATAGGATTGTCACAGCTTAAGGTGGTTTCATTCTCAGCTCCAAGATGTTAACATTCTGAAACTTTGTCTCTTTTTGTTTTACAGAGAAACGGGAAAATGTCATGCTTGTGCTGCCCCTTCATGGAGGCCACCTGGGATTTTTTGAGGGTTCTGTACTGTTCCCAGAACCTCTCACCTGGATGGATAAGCTTGTGGTACAGTATGCCAATGCCATCTGCCAGTGGGAGAAGACAAAGTCTCACTGCTCAGACACAGAGCAGGCTGTATCTGGCCAGGAGTAATTGACCCAAAGACTCTGGATCACTTCAGTATATTTTCCCCCTTGGGAACATCTTGTTCCCTCACCTGCTGCTTCAGGTTCCCATTCGCTTTGATATCCTGTGGCTGGGGTTTGATCAGTGTTTTCTTCCAAAGCGGAGTTAAAGCAGAGGTTAATATCTGGTCAGAGCATCTTTGCATATATAGTCACTTGGGTTTGTAATTTCCTGCTCTGCTTGAGAGGTAGGTTGCTGACTGTGACTTGTTACAGGGTTATTGATCTGAAGACTGCTTGCTTTAATGTAGCAGAAGTTTCAAATATCTAAATTCCTTCATCTGCTGGTCAAAAACTTGATCTGCAGCGTTAGTTTAGGTGTGGATGGCAGGGTAACTATGACTCTGTTCTCTGTCTCAGTGCTGGAAAAACCCTGTACCAAGCCACAAGCCAATGAGTTTGTAAGCCACTAAAATGTGGCTTGGAAAAGCAGATGCTTGACTGCAAGTGGAATTCCAGCCTTGCACCATCTCAAGGGAGCCTTTTACTTCCTAGGGATGCACTTACACAAGTCAATCAGTTTTAAAATACTTAACTTTTCCATGCTTCAGCTGTCTGTGGATTGGGGTGTCTTTATGCTGGGACTTCAGGTAGAGAAAAGCTGTAGGCTGGTAATACCAGTTAATGTTTCTATGTAAACATGTTCTCACACCAAGACCAGATCAGTCACCTTCTTGTCATCTTTGCCTCTTTTTAAATGTAATGATCTTCTTAGTACTGGATTTTTTTTTTTAACCCAGGGCTTTTTAAAGCTGGCTCTGGTTTCCAAATGGAAACCAGTAATTAAGAATCTGCAGGATCTTTCTATCAGCATAATCTTTTAAAGAATATTTCATAGAGAATTATGTACTCTGTTAAGGATTGATTTGTTTGAGGGGGATGGTATCTATTTAGATTTATTCACCCTATGTCAGGGTAGATCATACCAAGATCCTTCCCCTTAGCTTTCAAAGCATCAGATGGTTTTCAGACACATGACTTGCCTTACAGTTGATGTGGAACTGGATGTCTCTAGCCCTGTGCAGCTGAAATGGTATCTTTGCATGGCTGTAGGATTACTGGCTCCAGTAAGACACTGGGCTCTTCCTCACTTGAATTCCTCTTCCACACCCAGACATCCTCTTCTAGTTTTAGTGTGCGAAGTGAAGTGTGAAAGGTGTTTGCAGGAAAGTTACCTACTCACTTGTGCTTTTCCCTCAAGTGGCTGTTATGGTCTGTGCCAAAATGGTTATTAAAGACTCTAGTCTATCCCCTGGAAGGAAAGTTGTCCCATGACAATCTGGATACTGAAACTTTGTGGTCAAAATCTTTTTTTTTTTTTTTTTGCTGTTTGTTCTGTCAATATTGTAGTCTCATTAATCCATCCTTAGGACTTCTTTATCACAGTGTCAGTGAAGTTCTTTTCCTGTCATACTTCCCACATCAATTAGCACTTTATTGCTTCAGCCTTGGTCTGTGTTCCAGGCACTTTAGTTTATAGCTTAAGGGTGAAACAAGCTGCAGGACTTGAGTCTGGTAATACAGGGGAACAAGCCTTCTGGACTGCCCTGTCCCTGAACTCCAGTGGGTTGGAGAGGTGGAGTTTTGTTTTAATAAAGCAATAATTAACTATTATAGCAGAGGTGCATTATCATATCAGGAAATTCTTTTCATTTGCCTTAGGCCAGACACCTTGGCCTGTTACAATGAACTGTGGATAGCTACACATTCTCTTTGTTAGTAAATCCAGGTTTCTTTTTTTCCTTTGAAGAAAAGATGTGACCAAGTAAAGCTATAGCAAGACTTGGCCATGCTTGTGGCTGTTCCTTAAGAACTATTTTAGGGCATCAGTTAGCAAGGATATTCTTAGCTGGTGGATATCTTGTCTTTATGTTGTTATCCTCTTATTCATACTGCATCTGTATATCACTAAAATTTGTCAGAAAAGACATTTCAGATTTTTGCTTAAGTAGCTGTTCATGTAATATTCATTTGGTACAACTTAAATATCTTCTCACTTCAACAGAAGCAGAGTGTAAACAATGCTTGTACACATCAAATAGATACAGTATAAATTTAGGTATGTAGGGGGATATGGTTTTTTATCTCCAGTGGGTTACAACTTTCAAGTGTTTTGACTTTCATGATATACTGCAGTTGTAGCTTACACAGATCATGGCTGTCTGCCTTGAGGAAACAAAACTGCCCATCCTGTGCTTCATGTGTCCTTGATGGACCAGGCTTTCAAACAGCTTTTTCTGTTTCTGAGGTATGAGGAAGCTACCTTCTTATCAAATGTACCTTCATTTCAAACTGAATCAATCAATTACCTGGTTTTAAGCAAGTCTTCTAAAATGAGGTGAGCAACTGAGTAGTTCTCAAAGCACCGGGAGCTGGAGCTTCATCTAATCAAATAGATCTTGCTTTAAAGTTTGAGGGTCTTCTCAAGGAATAACCTTCCCTGCCCCACAACCCAAGCCTTTATACTTCAGAAGTTCTGATGCTGAGGACTTTCTTAAGCTCCCCACTCCAGAAGTAATATGGGTCTGTCTTGCTCCTTTGACCTGTTTTTGCACTTGCATCTACAGGTTTTTAAACCACTTGTGACTTGACCAACTAATTCTAGCCTGTTTGGGGAAAAAGAGCTCTTGTCATGGCTTGTTTGTGCAAGGGCTCTGGAGCCTGAGGTTCAGCTTAGTGTTACTAAGCTTGTAGGTAGAAGCACTGGAAGAACACCCTGTTATCTCTATCTCACAATTTGATGCTGCTTTCAAAGCAAGACTTGTAGTGTCAGACTTGCAGCAGTAACCTAAAGAGATGTTAGGGAAGTGGGAGAGGGGAAAACTAAGTTGCAGTGCTTGTTATCTAACGTCCTTCAAAGAAAGGAATTGTGTATTAAATCCTGCTGCTGACAGTGACTGGCAATGGATACCTAGTGCCAGTATGCTGAGATCTATGGGACTTTGTCCAGTTCTAATCTGAAATACCCTTCTCTCCCAAATAAGGCAATACTTGTCTTGAGATGTGGGCAGGTGGCCTTCATTTGCCCAGTGAACTCAACCTGAAATGCAATCTGAATGTTTACGTTTTAGAGGTGAGGTCATCTTTTTCATCTCTTGTCAAGACACATGAGGCCGCTGAAGTGTGCACTTGTAGATCATTACAGTGTAGTCTGATAGTGCAGGTCAGGATTACAGCATGATGAATTTATTGTGTGCTCTGTTTAGTTTCAAACTGGGATTAGAAAAAGTGTTAGCAGAGCTCTTCCCCAGGTAGTCTCATGTGGTATACTCACATCTTTCCTGTCTCTGCATATAAGTAGCACTTCAACATAAACCCTAAGGACCCTCTCAATCAGATAGCAAGTTGCAGAACTACTACTGTTTGATGGTTAAGCTCATCCAGCCATCACCTTTGTCAGTGTCTAGAGAGATCTGAAGCTTGTAGGTGAGCATCTGGGACTTGCTCTTACTGAACACAAGGAACTTGAAGCTTCCACTACATCAGATCTGTCAGCATTTGTACTGCTCAGCTTCTAAATTTAAGGTGTTTTCAGATGTGCCTGACAGTGTTGTAGTTGCACTGTAAAGACACTTGAACTTCCCTGCAGTCTTTTCCTGAGAATTTTTCTGCAGTTCCTGTTTATGAAGATACAGGTTATAAAGACAGGGCATTAAACAAAGATGTTGGGAAATATTATGTCGAGTACTGAATTTAGCCAAGCTACCTGTGTGTCATCTGTCCTAGGTCTGTCACAAGTTCCTAGACCACAACCCTTTGACACGTGGTGCCTTGCCCTTTTTCTTCTTCTCCCTTGACATCAGCATATTTAGAGACTTCAGTAACAGGTCGGTCAGAGCTTTTGGGATTTTGCTTTTTAGTAAATGAATTTTCAGACACCAGGTAGTGAGACACCTCCGGCAACGTACACTGTGCAAGTGTGTGCTGACTTAGAGGACCTTTGTGGGCAACCTACAACTAGCTACAGTCTATTTTGAGACTTAAAATAACAATGTATATAGGCAGTGGGTCATTTAATCTCTCTGCTCCTCTAGCAGTAGAGGTGGAGTCATAGGAGGGTTTGCTTTGCTTAATATGTGACTTGTTACCTTCCAGTCCCAAAGTTCTTATGTCTTCTAATTCTCCAGCAGTGGAGCTGGAAGTAAATTGCCTGCGCAACTGCATCCCAAAAGAGCAGAGTAGCAACTTCAGGATTTAATTGCCAAACAGTTTAGTTACCTGGATTGCTTCCAAGTTTTTCTAGAAATATTATGCCTGTCTGCAGCTTATTGAAATTCTTCACAGCCTTTTTCCAGGAGACCAGAAAAGGCCCTAGCCTTGTGCTGCATATATGTCATTTGTTGTGAAGAGCACCTTCTTTCTGGCTTGATTCATGCTCCATGTGTCCTTATTCCTTTGCTGGGTCTGTTGCTCAGGTAGGTCCTGGAGCCACAATGACTCAAAGCAATGTCTCCTTCATGGCTTGTAGGTGAAAAGCAAACAGCCCTTCTTGGTGTGAGGGCTTTTTTTTTTTTGAGTTTTCTCCAACCTTAGAATGTGTCAGAGTAACACCACCCCAAGGAAGGGGTGCCTTTAACTGTACCCCTTTTATCGCTGGGACTGTCTGTTATGCTGGCCTGGACTTTCTCAGCTGTTGGGGGAGCTTAGGCATAAGTGCTGTCAAGGAGTCAAAGCAGTTGCCAGCTTCCCATGCTGTGGTGGGAGGGTTTCTAAGATTATCCTGAACTGTTGCATTCTGAACATATACATTCTTGATTTTGCTGGTTAATCAATGGACACAAACACTGCAATCCAGGGCAGCATTTATCAGGTTGGCTCTGCTGGTATTGAACAGCCTTTTTCAAGTGCATCTGATAACGTGCTTCAAAATGTCCAACTCTGCATCACTTGTGGATAAAGGCTTTTCTTTTTCTTCTCACCCAATGGCCTTGTGTAACGCAGGTAGTTTTAATGCCAGTAAGGAGCCTCATCCCATAAGATGGCTCTACACAAAGCCTTCTCACTTCTGTCGGAACGACAAGCTTGCATTGTCTATCTCTGGTCATGCAAGAGCTTTGATTAGATACAGGACTTTCCTCTAGGATCTCCACTATAGATCTGCCGGGATGATGACCCTTCTCATGGCTCCTGCCAACTTAAAAGAAAAAAAAGTCTTAAAGCCAAACAAAACCCACTTGTATTTGATATAAACAAACCCTACTGCTTAGCCCTGTCAGCAGCTTTCTAAAAGAGCATGTTTTCTCACTGTGTTACTTGACAGCTTGACCATAATTCCCAGTGACAGGTCACTAGACATTCTTTTTGAGAAACCATAACCTCTTTCTCTGAAAATCCCAAGCTGAAGGGGTGTGTGGAAAGCTCAAGAACAGGCTCATACCCTTCTTGTATTGCCCATGCAGGTGTGTTAGAACAGGCTGAATGACTTCTAATATTCTTGGTGAGCAGTTTACTATGAACATGTTTTCAAATTGGCAAAATCATACTCTGGAACCATCTCTAAATGCTGCCCTGAAAAAGC